CCAACACCTTATTCAGTCCATACAGGATGGGTATGTCAACAAACCTTATTACAAATTCCACTCGGGGATCTTAAGCAGGATGGGCAAGCTGATGGTAGGAGCTGATGCCACAGTCAGAGCTAAACTTATCTCATTTTACCATGACTGTCCTATGGGTGGCCACTCTGTCATTACAACCACCTTAAAAAGGCTCAAATAAGACTTTTATTGGAAGAAGATAAAGCATGATGTTTATACTCATGTAAGGGCCTGTGATGTTTGTCAAAAGTGCAAAAGTGAAAATGTAGCCTACCCTAGTCTCCTCCAACCCATCCCTATACCTGATAAAATGTGGCAAGACATCTCAATGGACTTTATAGAAGGGCTTCCTAAGGCTGCTGGGAAAGAGGTGATCTTTGTGGTGGTTGACAGATTGAGCAAGGCTGCCCATTTCATAGCCCTCAAACATCCTTATATTGCTTTGGATGTTGCTCAGGTATTCATGGATGAGGTTTTCAAACTACATAGAATGCCCAAATCCATAGTATCAGATAGAGATGTTGTATTTACAAGCAGGTTTTGGAAGGAGTTATTCCGCTTACATAAGGTATCACTGCTGACTTCCACTGCATACCATCCTCAAACAGATGGTCAAACAGAGGTTGTCAACAGATGTTTGGAATGCTACATTAGGTGTATGACTTTTGAGAAACTTAAGGAATGGCCACAGTGGTTTCCCTTGGCTGAGTGGTGGTACAATACCACTTTCCATTCCAGCACCAACATGACACCATATGTGGCAGTGTATGGCAGAAACCATCTCCTTTACTTCCCTACATGAGCTTTGATTCCCAATTAGATGTGGTTGATAGAAGTCTCAAAGCTAGAGAAACTACTCTGAGGCTACTGAGATTTCAATTGGAGAAAGCTCAAAATAGGATGAAGGTGCAAGCTGATAAACACAGGTCTGACAGGACTTATGCAACAAGAGATTGGGTCTATGTCAAGCTACAGCCCTACAGACAACTCTCTCTTAAGTAGCATGGCTTTCAAAAGCTATCATCCAAATACTTTGGCATCTTCCAAATCCTTGCTAGAGTGGGATCAATAGCATACACCTTGGACCTACCTGCTGGTACCAAGATCCATCCCACATTCCACATTTCGCAGCAAGAAAGATAGGAAGCTGCAGTCACTTTGCCGGTGGTGCACTCAGAAGCTGGTCATGTTCTGCTGGAACCTGAAGCAATTCTTGATAGACGGATGATTCAGAAGCACGGGAGATATATATCACAAGTTCTAGTCAAATGGTTCAATACTGCACCTGAGGACAGTACATGGGAAGACTACCACGACCTTAACCAGAAGTTTGCTCACTTCAATCCTTGAGGACAAGGATTATTTGAAGAGGACGGCATTTGATACGATCCTAATAAGTGCACTTTCCAATTCTAAAGGAATCAGTTTCAATTCAGTTTCAATTTAGTTGTAATAGTTGTCTAGGTTAGTTAGCCTCACGCGACTAGCACATGCGCGTGAATAAATGGGAAGTGGAGTCCGAAAATTAGTTATAACTAACTTTCCCACCTTCCTCTATATAGTTTACATTTAATTCATTTTGTAAATGATCAGAAGATTTTGGAAATAAAAGAATCTCTCTTGTCTCTTATCTCTTATATCGTCTCTATTTCCAACTGAGTTCTACGTTGAGGAAGCCGTTCAAGAACAATTCTTCCATTTGTTCTTTAGGCGAGGTCACTTTTCTTTCCTTTTCCGTTAAAAGCTGTAGAAGTCGTAACAGTTATATTTTTTAATAGAGTGGAATTTGTTGTACTTTCTTTGTAAAGTGGATTTTGTTGTTTCTTTGACGACAGGAAAAAGTTACTTTTCCCAACCTCTTCCCCAAAAAACGAGGGAAACTCAACAGTGGACCATAAAGTTACTGCGTTACAAAAGAAAAATAGGCATACATTAATTAATTAATGATAATAACAAAAAGAAATGTTTCTTCCCCTCAGGTTCACTATTAGATGTTCTCATGTTCATCAACCCAATTCAACAGGCAACTATGAATCTTAACGTAAGATAGCTAAACTCATTATCTTTACTTGAGAAAATTGCAAAGCTACAACAAATAATATTAATCACTTAAGGAAATAGTAACAAAGAGTTGATGTTTTCTTTTTGTGAGCACCGATGATTTTAGAATCTTTAAAAAAAGTAAAAAAAAATTCTCTTTGTCCTAATCTTTTGAGCATTCACCAGGACCAAGAGGTGGCTCAAATTCTCATCTTTTTCAATTTTACACTTAATTGTTTCAGTACTGTGCTACTCACACTGCCTGCCCATCAAGGAGACCTAAAAAAGGTTCATCAATAGAGAAAGACTGAAAATATATACTCCACGGATACAATTGGTGGTGGGTTTAATTGGGTGCAATTTGTCTTCAATACTTGAGCAGTTAGGTCGTAAACCAGCATAGAACCATCATACAAGGAATAAAACACAATTTCATCTTTTTCGATGCAGAGCAGATTTAAAAGGACTATAGTCCGTAAAATACTCCCCGTTCCAATTTATGTGAACATGGTTGACTAACTATCGGAATGGAGAGAGTATTCCATAAGGGCTTTCAGGTAGGTCCAACTATCGGATTTTGGGTCGTAAATTTCACCACACTTGCTCCGATCAACATCATAATAAGTTTGGAAACATGTGGTCCTAAAAGTTTAAGGGACAAAAGTTTTATGGGGCTATAACATTTGGTGTCTATAAAAACTTCTTATTAAGGGTAAAGTGGGTAAAATGAGAAGTTTATAAGTTAGATTATTTCCAAATATAAAAATATGTCATTCTTTTTGGAACGGACTAATAAGAAAAATGTGTTATTTAAATTGAAATGGAGGGATACTAGAAATCTAAGGATATGTTTCTCCTTATTACATTAGTTTCTCAACTATCAAAACAATACTTTTAATTTCTAGTGCGTATATGAGGCGGATCCAGGATTTCACGAGGATGAGTGCATCACTACCCGACCACCGTTTGATTGGGTCCTCTAAAATTTAACCATGAGCTGACAACAACTTGACAAGTAAAGAACAATCAATATTGTTATTACAAAATTTATCATTCCATAGACAAATATCAATAAATAGTTTTCTTACCTTGGAGAACTATCAATGATAACATCATTATTTATAGTTACAAATACTAAGCTCGATATATTAAAATTAAATAAGTAATCAAAAAGAGAGTTAACTTGAAATTGAAAAGATTCAAATTAATTTAAATTTTATTTTTCAGAGTTTTTGAAACTCAATGATTGAACCAAAAAAGAGAATGAAGAAAACACAGAAAAGAATCGGGTGAACCCAAAAACAGGATGAAAGATAGGGAAGTGAGATTTGAACCGTACTAGACCTAGGGGCCAATGATGCACAAATCTACCACTACACCAAACGATTTTTTTACCATGGGTTCCCACGTGTCAAATTAAATAATTTATCCGAAAAATATCAATGTGATACACAGTTAGAGGGAGCATGGATTCACGTGCTCCATGTCCCATGCCCCCACGTGAATCTGCCTATAGTAACAGAGTTAGCTAATTTACTAAATTTCCTTAGGAGCTAATTAAAATGGGACCAATGAGCTACTTATAATTATTACGAAAAGATACTCTTAAGAAGCTTAAATTTTGCGTTTTGCTGAGGCTCAAGGTTATACAAGTAAAAACGAGACAAAAAAACACACGTAACCATGCAAAGGGTTTTATATAATTTTTAATGGAGATGCTAGCTAACTTTTCGTTGTTTCCTCATCCTTACTCACTTCATTCCAATTTATGTGACAATATTTTTTTCTTAATCCGTTTCATTTTGTATCTTTTTTCAAGAATTCAACTTTAAAATTCCGTTCCACGAGTTCAAGCTTTATTAGCGTGAGCAACTTCCGTTAATGTTCAGGCAGCGCATTACATGATCTTCAACTGAAATTAATATCGACTCCTATTTTCTATCTATTGTTTTGACTTGACGAAATTTTGTAAAACCTTATTATCAACTCACTTTTGGTCAACAAAGAAAGGAAGAATGAAAAGAAGATGATTAAAAAAAAAACTAGTTGGTCAAAACCAACTCCACCAAAAATTCTCAGAACCAATACATGAAAACTTATTTCTGTGATTTGTTCAACCAAATGTGGTCTCTTGTGTGTGATTATTTATTGCATAAAGAAACCCCAAAGACTTTTTTTAGTAGGCTAGACAAGTTGACTCAGAAACTCGATATTTCTAATTTTGCTTTCTTGCCTGCCAATACCAAAATTAACCAAAGTGACAAATGGTGGGGCTCTAGAGCTCATAATTACAATTAAAAGGGCAGTCCGGTGCATTAAGCTCCCACGATGCGCGGGGTCTGGGGAAGGGTCGGACCACAAGGGACTATTGTACGCAATCTTACTCTGCATTTCTAGAAGAGACTATTTTCACGGCTTGAACCGGTGACCTCTATGTTATATGGCAACAACTTTATCAGTTACGCCAAGGCTGCCTTCTCATAATTACTGTTATATCTCAATATTTTCTTTTGTTGGTATTATTACAGAATTAATGCATATATAGCTGCTGATGAGATTAGGCTACCAACTTGACGGTTAACCTTCCATTTCAACCTTTTCATTTTGTCACCCTCCTAGCCATATCTTATTATTCCAATGACGAAAATACCCTCTTTCCTTTTCATCTACTCCGATCCTTCCTCCAAACTAAACCAATAACGGCATCATGTATATAGAATTTAAATTACTTTATCTTTGTACGTGGAATATGATTAGCTAATAAAATGGGACCAACGGACCAATTATTAGTACAAAATAACTCTTAAAGGTTAAACTTACTAGTTGATAATGAAGCTCAAGGTTATAAAAGTAAAAACAAGTGACCGAAAAGGGGTTTCATGCAAACTAAAGGATTTATATATATAATGGAAATGGTAGCTAGCATTTCATTGTCCCTTTATTCCATATATATTTGATCTATTGCGTTGCTACAAAGTCTTTATAAACAAAACACACACACACACACACACAAAAATTAGTGAACAAGATTATGAAGATAATACTGTTAAGGATCATCGTCGTCTTCTTTTTTGTTCTACCAATTTATTCAGCCATATTATCAGACAACCCTTTAGTTGAATTTTCTAACGGAGAAGAGTTGGGAAAGATGGCTGGTTATGGAGAAGAAAAACTCTCTACTGTTATCATCCATGGTACTCTTCTTTGTCATCATCATCAATCTTGCGCAGATATAATAGACACACACCTTCCTCCACATCCCGTTTCAGGTTTCTACCTTTTCTTCAACTTCTATTATTTCCTTCTCTTTTTTTTTGCCCAAAGTTGTCTAAAAGAAAAGCATTCATGAAAAAAAGCATGTTTTATTCCATTTTATAGTAAAGATATGTTATAACTTTGCTTTTATTATATAGACAATATAATATTAAAAAAACGTTTATATGCAAGCATTATCATATCACTAATTTCCTTGACATGAAGAAAAGTCCATGTATTGTAGTCAAGGGGCTCAAAAGTTGCTTTAGGTTATAGGTTTAAATACCAACAGTGACATTCTAGAATTTTTTTGAATCCGGCCCCTTGTATATAGCATAAAAGAAATTATTTTTACTATATTGCACAATATAATTTTATGACAAAAGGAATTCGGTTGAAGCTAATTCATTCTATTTAGTTCCATCATTATCGAAACCATGATTGGTTCCCTGCAAAACATAATGATCAGTATCTTGTTGCCACTCGTAAATATATAGTAATATGGTATGAGAATATTATATTGTTAGTATATATATATATATATATATATATATTAATCAAGTTAGATTATTGGTTGGATCTTCCAAATTCCTCTTGTTACGAGCTTTGAATAATAATTAAAAAAATTGCTATTCTATACTGCCATTGTGGGCCAAGAGATGGTTACTACAACCCAGTCCACCATTTAATACGCTCGACGCTTTAATTTCTTAATTACTAAAATTATCCATCTCATGACTTTGAAATATCTACTAATATAGTAAATTTTTGCATGAATATAATATATAGATGACTGATAACCTAGCTAGCTATTCCTTTTAATGAATTGTAATTTGTATATATTATCGAGCAGGAGCAAATGTGGCTGTCTTTTGTGGAACTAGTGAGGGAAAGGTGAGGGGATCGTCATGGTCCAAAAATATAACAAATGAAAGTGGAAAGTTCGTAATAGATCTCCCTTCTCATCTCCATTCTATTCCTAATTTGGAAAACACATGCAAGATTCAACTTCTTCATTTGCCAAAGGACTCCCTTTGTCGTCGTCATTCTTTTACAAGGAAACAGTACAAGAGATCAATCAAACTAACATCTATAGGAGATGGCATACGCATTTACACGACTCATAAGATCCAGTTAATTACCCCTAAAGCTTCACAAGCAGGATGCACTAACAAATTTCACAACAAGAAGAGATTGTTATAAGAATGTCTCATCTTTTTTCGGGACACAAAAAGAACAACAAGAAAAAAGAGGTTGATTAAATCTGTACACAATTTAATTCCTTGTGATGGCGCTTCAGTCACACATTGAGTTGAAGTCATGTTCTTACGTACCATGTACAATTTTGTATAATTAAGCTTATTTATAAGTAACTTAATTATGTGTGTGTGTGAGAGAGAGAATTATCTCCGTGTAACTCCATTAGTGATATTATATGTATCTAAATCCGTTTTAGGTCATTCTGAGCCCATTCCCCGAATTCATGAAAATGTCGTGGACATTAGCACATGAAAAATTGAAAATCACCCTGAATTTCTATTTTATGGCCCTAAAATACCAAAAAATGAGGAAAAGTCACTGCGAAATAATGACTATTGTTCATTAGGTCATTTCTGATGGCCCCACAAAATTTGAGATGATTCGGAGTCCGTCGCTCCAATTCATGAAGACAGCGTGGACATTAGCACGCGAAAAATTGAAAATCGTCCTAAAATCCCGTTTTCTCACCCTGAAATGCCAAAAAATAAGGAATGGTCACGACGAAGCAATGACTAGTATTCATTATGTTGTTTTTGATGAGCACACAAAATTTAGGTGATTCAGAGTCTGTCGCCCGAATTCATGAAGATGACGTTGACATTAGTACGCGAAAAATTAAAAATCATCCTGAATTCCTGTTTCTGACCCTAAAATACCAAAATATTAGAAACGGTCACGACGAAGCAACGACTATTGTTCCTTGGGTCATTCCTGATGGACCCACAAAATTTAAGGCGATTCGAAGTCCTTCGCCTGAATTCATGAAGATGGTGAGGATTAATAGTGGAAATATTGAAAATCGTCTTGAATCCCTATTTTATGGCCATAAAATATCAAAAAATGAGAAACTATCATGGAAAAGTAATGACTATTATTTTTATGTCATTTCTGATGGGCTCACAAATTTTTAGGCGATTCGGAGCCCATCGCCCAAATTCATGTAAATGACGTGGACTAATAACACATGAAAAAGTAGAAATTGTCCTGAATTCATGTTTTATGGCCATAAAATACCAAAAATATGAGTAACGGTCAAGTCGAAACACGACAATGGTTAATTAGGCCATTTTTATATGCTCACAAAATTTTAGGAGAATCAAGGCCGGTCAGCCGAATTCATGCAGATGGCGTGTATTATAGCACACGAAAATCTCGGCATCATCCTGAATTTCTGTTATATGGCCCTAAAACGCCAAAATACAAGGAACGGTCATGGCGAAGCGATGACTATTATTCATTAGGTCATTTTTTATGGGCCTACAAAATTTTAGGAGATTTGGAACCGGTCGCCCGAATTCATGTAGATAGTATGGACTATAACACACGAAAATCTGGGAATCGTCCTGAATTCTTATTTTATGGCTTTAAAATGCCAAAAACAATAAAGGTTCATGGCGAAATGATGAATATTATTCATTAGGTCATTTTTATGGGTTGACAATAATTTTAGAAGATTCGGGGTCGGTCGCCGGAATTTATGCAGATGGCATGGATTATAACACACAAAAATTTAGGAACCATCCTCAAATCCTGTTTTATGGCCCTAAAACGCCAAAAAACGAGGAACGGTCATGGCGAATCAATAACTATTGTATATTAGATTGTTTTTGATGGGCCCGCAAAATATTAGAAGATTCGGGACCGATCACCCGAATTTATAAAGATGCCGTGGACATTAGCACACGAAAAATTAAAAATCGTATTGAATTCCTGTTTTATGGCCCTACATACCAAAAAACGAGGAACAGTCATAGAAAAGCAATGACTATTGTTCATTACGTCATTTCTGATGGGTCCACAAAATATTAGGCGATTCAGGGCCGGTCGCCCGAATTCATGAAGATGGCGTGGACATTATTAACACATGAAAAAAATAAAAATTATGTTGAAATCCTGTTTTATGGCCCTAAAATACCAAAAAAGAGAAACAGTCATGGAGAAGTAATGACTATTATTCATTAGGTCATTTACGATGGGCACAAAAGTCATGGCGAAGCAATGGGTATTGGTCACTAGGTTGTTTTCTATGAACCTACAAAAATTCAGGCTAATCGTAGTCCGTCAAAAAAATTATACAAAATTATCATGCACTAGTACACACTAAAATAGATATAATCAAAAATTTATAGTGCATGACCCCAAAACACTAAAAATGAACTCGAAAGTTATGGCAAAGCGATAAGTATTTGTCAATATGATATTTTCTACGAACCTACCAAATTTCGGGCCAATAAGAGGTCGTCAAAAAAATTCAACAAAATCAGCATGTACTAATACATACGAAAAATAGATATAATTATAAATTCGTGTTGCATGACCTTGAAATGCCATAAAATAAATTTGGAAGTCATGGGGAAGCAATGCATATTGGTCACTAGGCCGTTTTCTATGGTCCTATAAAATTCCGGGCCAACCGAAGTCCATCAAAAAAATTCTACAATTAGCATGTACTAATACACACGAAAAAATAAATATAATCATAAATGCATTTTGCATGAACATGAAACACCATAAATGAACTCGAATGCTATGACGAAGCAATGAGTATTGGTCACTAGGTCATTCCCTATGGACCTACAACTTTCAGGTCAATCGGAGCCCATCAATTTTTTTTACAAAATCAGCAATACTAATAATACTAATACACACGAAAGAGAGGATATAACCATAAATTCGTGTTGCATGACTCCAAACCACCAAAAAATAAACCCGAAAGTCATGGCAAAGCGGTGGGCATTGGTCACTAGACTATTTTATATAAATATGAAATTTCAAGCCAATTAGAGTCCGTTAAAAAATTCTACAAAATCAGCATGCACTAATACATACGAAAAATAGATATAATCATAAATTCGTGTTGCATGACCTCAAAGTGCCATAAAATAAACTGAAAAGTTATGGCGAAGCAATGCGTATTGATTACTAGGCCGTTTCCTATGGACCTATAAAATTTCAGACCAACCGGAGGTCAAAAATATTATACAAGATCATCATGTATTAATACACACAAAAAAATGGATATGAACATAAACTCGTGTTGTATGACCCAAATCACCATAAAATGAACCTGAAAGTCATGGCGAAGTAATGAGTATTGGTCATTAGACCGTTCCTACGGACCTATAAAAATTTCAGGCCAATCAGAGTCTGTAAAGATGGACGCAAAAAAAAGTTGATATAATCATAAATTTACCATAAATTCGTATTGCTTACTACGAAAGGAGGTGTAGTGGAAGGGAAAATGTTAGACGCTAAGAAGTAAAACTTAGGGTGCAAATGATTTTGGGCTGATCAGACAAGTAACATAATAAGTTCTATTGCAAATCATGGACCAAAGTTTTTTGTTTAATTTTGGGCCCCTAACATTAGATAACGACATCTGCAAACTCTTTTCATTACCCAAAAAAGCACTCAATTGTTGAAAGAGACGTGCAACCAAACCACCCATAAACAATTAAACATCAAGGATTGTGTTGCATCTCCTTCTCTTTTCTAAGTTAATTTCCATCCACCAAATTTGTACTATTGTTAATGTAATACTACTATATAAATCCCCGTTCCAATGTTGCGTCATTATTTGATTTGATAAGAAATTTTAAATATAAATAAAACTTTTAGAATATGTAATTTTTAAACATGTTATAGCATTTGTGTATATAATGTGATCTTAAATACAATATAATATTTGTGTGAAAGAAATTATTATTAAAAATATAATGAGAAATTTAGAGTTATTAATTTTAAAATATAGAATATATCATTTCCCAAAACTAAATTAGAGTGAGGGAATAGTGGCACATAAAATGGTTGCTATAAGAGGTTAGTTACAATTGACATTAGAGTGACTTTGCTATTATCAAGGGAAAGTACTCTCATGTATGGTAAATATTTAGTCGTATTGGGAGTTTACACTAAACCAATACAATTTATCATAGTTAAGTGATTTTATGAAGTTAAAATATGTATTAATTAATCATGGTTAATTGATACGAGTTTATATACAAACACAGATCATGAATATATTCGTTTGATGTAAGTAACCATACGAATAAGTTTTACTCTCATGTAATCGCACTTTTAGGGGAAAAAGAATTAGCAATAGATTCTAAGACGGAGGGGCAATAGGATGTTTTATATAATGCCGTGTTCCAAATTTACGCATCAGAGTTATACCTTTGGAACTATTTAATAGGTAAATGCACATTATGTTTAATATCATTTTGGAATCTACTAATTTCCATCGGATTATTTGAGAAGTTACCAAAAGCTTGCCAAACATCTTCATTTTGAAAATAAGTTTATTCTTTGATTTGAAAAATAAGCGAAAAGCTTATCAAACATGCTCTTAATTTCCGTTGAAGAAGCTTTCACAATTCATTAAATGTAGAGAACCAATTTTAACGTTATTAATGAAATCAATCATTGGAACCTATAAATAAGTGATTGAACTAACCTTTGAGTAATGGAAAAGTCTCTTAGATGTATGTTTTTTAATACAATAAAAAGCAAAGTTTCGAAGAAATGGAGAATTTACCCCCCAAAAAAATAAAAAGTGAGTGCGCAAATGATGTGACCTTATGACTTTGGCCATACCCCCTTCCCCCCCCC